ATTCCCTCGTTTGGCCCCCATTATTGGTAATGAAAATGGGAGGAATAATGTTTTATTGAAAAAAATGAGTGGTTAAAAAAGAAGGACAAATTTTTTATTTACGTATAATATTATTTTATAGAAGATTACGTGGTTCAAAATATGAGAGAGAAAAATAGAATGTAATTTAATGGAGGCCAAACAGAGTAATATCTTTTGACAAGTTAAATTTCACGAAATATATAATTTTTAAAATTTTGAAAACCTCAATTAATATAGACCACTTCTAATATCCAATTGAAATATCAACCACTTGGGAGGTGGGTTCAACTATTTAAACATTGACATTTAGAAAAATTATTTGAATATTGGACCACTAAATTTACAAAGTCACATGGCCAATTCAAAAGCCAACTAGCTTACTTTCTTTACACTTTATTCTTGCGACGAATTTCCTAAATAAAATGTATGGTTCTTAAAACCCATAAAGGCAAAGAGTAATTTCAAAGGTATAAAAAAATCTATCTCTTGCAAAACCCAATCCACTAAAAAGTGTATGCAATATAGAGAGGGTGTCTATCTCTTAAGTTCTTTCTAGATTCACAATCAAACGTGGTTTCATTGAAATTCTTTCATTTTATTTCTAAAAAACAAAGTGTGTGTATATATAAACATATATAGCCCAATAATATTACAAGATTCTCATATACATTGTTTGTGTGATAAGATTTCTTCTTATTCACAACTGTAACGAGATAAGATGTGTATATAAGTAATACGATTAAATTAAACAATTAATTGTTTATGATGAGTCATGTTGCATTTCAATAGATAAGATTCCACCCAAGAAATCAATGTATGATGAAAAAGTGAAAAGTTGATTATGACATCTGAATTTTTAAACAAATTTTGATTGAAAATAAGATGCTACTCTAGTGACATCAACGAGAAATGTTGGGAGCCATAAGCCATGTCACTTTTACAGTGGAAAATCCCACAAAAGATAGATATTCTAATATTTTATTATTTTTATAATATTGACTTTTATTATAAAATTATTTCTAAATATCTCTTCTTTTTGAACCTTTTTTGCTCACGAAGCTTAGAGCACAATGCCTTTCTAGTAATACTGTCGAGCACTTGAGATTAAAGAGATCGGACACCCTGTTGAAAAACAAGTAGCTTTTATTAAAAGAAAAAGAAAAAAAATTAAAATATTTTGTACTTGTATGATGTCTAATTTTTGCAAAAACCTACTTGTAGTTACATGGATAGAAGAGTGTATCAATATTGTTTATTTATAGCATCTTCAATCGTGGCGTAAAAAGTGATCAAAAACTTATTTAATGAAGAGATGCAATGAATTTTTTTTTACATAAAATATTTAAAAAATAAAATAAAATTGAATTATGTATTTTTTTACATACACGAGAGACAACAAATGAATTTAGATCTTTTTATTGGAGCAAAATTTGAATTTAAATATATCAAAATATAAACGAAGATGCAAAAGGGATTTTTGAGATACCAATTCATACTACTATTGAAGACACTCTTATATAAATATTTATAAAACCATTATCATAAGGGCGGCTGACCCTCTAAATTTGAAAAGTACTTAGTATATACACGAATACATGTTTTACCGCTCGTGCCGACCCATCAATTCCTTTGAATTTTGTTATTGCATATTTACTCTCCAGATGCGGTACTTAATGCATCAGTTACAACACTGCATGTTATAATCATTATTAACATTTATGTTGTTATACACAACTTAACTACATATGATATAATAATTAAAATAGATTTCATTTTAGTCATCGATTTTTTTCCCTTGGGAAAAGCCCCCTGTCGAAGGCCACATTGACCTTGGACAGACAAGTGCGCCATTTGGCGCCCCGGACGTCAAGTAGGTCCCTTTTTCCTTTCCCTTTTGTTTAAATTTCATTTTATTAGTCACTGAGCTAGCTATATTCGTAATTAGTATCTTTTTCCTACAACATAAATTAGTTTAGTTTTTTGTTGGAGCTGCTCCTGCTTCTAGGAAAAATCACAAGACCAAGGTGGAATGACAGGACAACAAAATAAGAAAAAACGAAAGTGCTTAGCTGGGAACACGTGCGAAAGAGTTGGTTCACGTGCATCGGGGAACCAAAGGTTGTAGCTGTACCGGCAATCTTGCCCGGTTGACTACAGACATACACGGTCCTCAGTTCACTGGCACCTGTCCCACCCGTCCCACACGCGTGCCTCCGCCGGCTAACGACACCCGCCACCCTTAGGAGCAGTAGTCAGACTGTTCTTCCTGACCTCCATGGCCCCCCCGAAAGAAAGTAGAAAGGGCAAAAAAGCAGTAACCCAGTTACTTCTCCTGACTCACTGACCCGGAGCCACCCACCAGAAGGGAAGAGTAAAAAGGAAAAAAAGAGATTAATGCTAACGTGTGATGGATAAAACAGATTCCTTGTGCACCAATTGTATGATACAGAATGACATAATTGGTCCCTACTTAATCAACATCGTTTTCTTGTGGAGGTGGGTCCACTGCTGACTACTCGAGACCACCCACTACTGTCGATAGTAATAAAAACATTTTTTTTGGGGCACGAATAATTAAGGTTGGAGAGACAACCTGGCCCATTCACACTAGTCTGTTCATCTTTGACCTTTGACTCGCCCAACAGTGACCAGTAAAATCCAAAACGAAAACAAATAACGTCTATTTGGTGGTTCAAATAAATAGTTGTATTTGTACTGTTGTGCGAATTCTTGTGTGGGTGCGGCTACTCCTATCGATGGATATTTGGTATTGGTGAAGGCCCCAAATGTTTGTCACGGTAGGCTCTAACAACGAAATAAATAAGATAGAATTTGTTGGATTATGTTTTATCAATTATTTAATATTTGAAAAAGTAGAAATTTAACAAAACAAAATAAAAATCAAATTGTAAAGACTCACGTCTCCATGCTCGATTATCAATCGATCTCAATTCTCACAAATTTATATCGTTTCTAATATTTGAACTCAAGATCTCTACTTATGAAATAATTAAATCTTAGATACGTGATATAAATTCTTAAGAAACAGAGATATTCTTCCATAATGGATATTACATATGACATTATAATTTGAAGACAGAAATTCGAACTTTTACACAAATAAAATAGTCATGATTTTTATAATGACTTTCTTTACTAACAAAATATTTATATGTTATTAGATAGTAGATTTATATTTGCTTTTAAGAAAAATAATTTTTTTTTTTTTTAAACACAATCAATTTTTTTAGTTTTGTTTGCTATGAATCATATAAATAATTTGATAATTGTCTAATTGATTAATGTAAGTTGCATTTCTTATACATGAGATTCATACTATTATATATAAGAGATTACATCATTTTGAAGGAACGTTTTATTCGTTAGTAGAGTCGACAACTTACGTTAATTACTACTTTCTTAATTTATGTTCTCCTAAGTTTTTCAAGGGCTATCTGGAGTGTTAACTTGGTAAAGAAACATGTAAAATGTTATTAGAACGGATTCAAGATTGTTTACGATTAACGAATTTGATCATAAAAAATGTTTTATTAAAATTTTTCAGATATCCTGAAATTAAACTCCTTTTCAATTACTAATTTTACCACATTTTCAAAACTACAATGATTTATGAATTTTCAAACAATAAGTTCTCATCCCTACAAAATCTCAATTAAGATAATATTGTCAAAGAAAACCTAGAATTTTGTGTAGTTCGGACAACAAGATTGGGTGAGCTGTTTTTGTTCACAGGTATTGCCTGGAATCTTCTTGGCCAATCCACACTAAATTCATCCAACTGGCCAGTAAGGTGACCATCTTGAATTCCTTCAATGGCATAGTCTTCAAGTTTGAACCTTATTGAATTCCACTTTGAAATATGCACCTACGCATAAATGTTACAACTTAACTACACTTATTAATGAACACTCAATGCTCACCCATATTTCTGCCATCTTGGCTCTTGCACATCCTCTGAATTAGAGGTGGATATTAATCTCGAAATCGAACAAATCAATTAGTCCAAACTGACCTCATTGATCGGGGTTGTTTTTTTTTTCCCCAACTGTTCAATTAGCAATCGATTTTTTAAGGCAATTCTTCTTTGATAGAATTGATTTGAGGGTTGCTTTACCAAACCTTATCAACACAGTCTAATACAACTCAAACCAGAATGATTTATATACATTAATTTATAATAATAAGATAAAATGAACAATTATTACTAACAACTAGAAATAACAAAAAAATTAAAATTCTAATTCTAGCTAACAAAACAATTGGTCTATCTTTCCCTTATTGTCTGATACTCTTCCCTACACAAACGCTCGTCTTTCTCAAGTCTCGACATTGTGAAATCGTATTGGATGCTGAATTACAGTTAACGACCGATAAAGCCATAGTAAAACACATATTTCGTTTTCATTGTTTGTTTTTCGCGCCTCCAAAAGTCAGATCAAACTAATCAAGTCAATGAAGTTTCATGCGAAAAATATAAAAAGGCAAAACTTTTGCTAATTCACCGGCAAACCTAGTGAACCAAAAATGATTTTAATGGTTTTGCTAGTTTTTTTTTTTAATAAATTTATTTGTATAATTTTTTGTTCCCTATTCAACTTGTCATCTTCTTCAGGCAAGTGATCAAACTAAATCGAGTATTTTTCCTTTTTCTCGAAGGTCCGAACGAGTTTTGAAACAAGAATGGTGTCATTGGTGTGTCGAAAAATAAAGAATAAATCTATCATTATCAATAATTATGAAACATTAATTAGCCCAACTAACCTCAAATCAAGTAATAAACAAACAGGATGATATTAATTCACACTGATGTAAACATGAGTTAGATTTCAGCATGATAGTGGGTCCCAGTTCCTCTCCAGTCCTTATACATCTTTGACCAAACCAGTATCTAACACACAAACCAACCATGGTTAAATCCTTAACCCAAGGACATAAACACACGTGTGGGGAATAGCAGCAGTAGTACATGTTCACAGAGAAGAATTCCCTGCCTGTGTCCCTTTGTTCCATTTCGTATATAACCCATCACTCCCAGAGCAAACCGAAAGAGAATTTGCAGTTCCTCCTCCTCTCTTCTATACACTCTCTTTCTAGTTCTTTATTCATATATATACATATAGAGTTATACAAACAAAAAGATTACAGATCATATTAATTGGGGAAGAATATAACATGCCTGGGAGTTTGGAGCCATTGGATGTGGGTGTGCAGATCCCATACCACTTTCGTTGCCCGATTTCGCTTGAGCTGATGCGTGATCCGGTGACTGTTTGTACGGGCCAGACGTATGATCGGACCAGTATTGAGTCGTGGGTGGCTACCGGAAATACAACGTGCCCGGTTACACGCTCGCCGTTGACGGATTTCACTCTCATTCCAAATCATACTCTCCGGCGGCTGATTCAGGACTGGTGCGTTGCAAACCAGTCTTTTGGTGTTGAGAGAATTCCTACCCCAAAACAGCCTGCGGATCCAACAATGGTGAGGAATTTGTTGAATAAGGCATCTTCTGGGTCGACGCCGTTTGGCTTGAGATTGTCGGCTTTGAGGAGACTTAGGGGACTCGCGCGTGACTCCGATAAGAATCGATCCGTTATTGCGGCGAATAATGCACGTGAGATTCTTCTCGCTATTGCGTTTTCCGATTTGGATTCGGATTCGAATTTTTCCGAATTGAGCCACGAGTCTGTTGCGATTTTGTCCCTGTTTTCGCTTTCGGAGCCAGAGTGTATGTTTGTGGCAGCCGATTCCAACCGAGTTGCATACCTTGTAAATCTACTGTTTCATTCTTCTGTTGAAGTCCGAGTCAACTCGGCGGCATTGATTGAGATTGTTATCGCCGGAATAAGGTCCTCGGATCTCCGAGCACAAATCAGTAATGCTCACGGAGTATTCGAGGGTATCGTCGGAATATTGAACTTTCCGTTAGCATATCCAAGGGCATTGAAAATAGGAATCAAGGCACTGTTCGCCTTGTGCTTGGTGAAGCAGCACCGGCATAAGGCGGTGGCAGCGGGAGCGGTAGAGGCACTGATTGACCGCCTGGCAGAATTCGAGAAATGCGATTCCGAGAGAGCACTTGCCTCAGTTGAATTACTCTGCCGGATTCCTTCAGGTTGCGCCGCATTTGCAGCCCATTCGCTTACAGTACCAATTCTGGTAAAAATCATTCTAAAGATCTCCGACCGAGCAACCGAGTACGCAGCCGGGGCATTGCTCTCGCTCTGTTCTGCCTCCGAGTTGACACAGCATGAAGCGGTGGCCGCCGGGGTGTTGACTAAGCTGCTATTGCTTGTTCAGAGTGATTGTACAGAGAGAGCAAAGCGTAAAGCGCAAATGCTCCTGAAATTGCTGCGGGACTCATGGCCGGAGGACTCAACTGCAAATTCGGATGATTTTGCGTGCAGCGACGTCGTTCCGTTTTGATTTTGTCCTTCCTCAATTGAAACTCTATTTTTGTTGCAAGGGTAAAATGGTAAAAAGAAAGGGAAATAGGTGACATGAGGGTCATGATTTGGGTACATAAACAATTGTAGTGTTGCATGTATTCTTGTAAGAATTTTTTGTTTTGGATAGAACTTTTGTTAAATGATGAAAAAAAAAAAAATCCCCAGGTTTTTGCTCTATGTTATGTTTCATTTTTAGTGGTATAGGATTGGAAATGTATAACAAGAGTTAAGTTTATCGAACATGCATATGGATACATAATCTAGTGACTTGTATATAAACACAAGTTTTTTGTTTCCTTGAAAGTGTATAATAAAAGTTATGTTTACTGAACGTGCATGTAGATATATAATCTAATCGATTTTTTCTTAACACAAATTTAACTTTTCCGTCGGATTGTCTCATTAATTGGCTTCTATAAAACTAGAGTTGAGACATCTCTTTTAGTTAAAAATTTCGTACGCTATAAAAATCTTGAAATAAATACTAATATTAGAAAATAAATTATCATTTTCTTACAAATAAAATGTGCTTTCCTTCTCCACTCTATCTTGTTGTGCTACAATAAATTTATTCATATTCATGTATCTCAACTCATACACTCAAATAATCGTATTAAATAAAGTACTCTTCATTCTTCGAGTCAAGTTGATGCTAAGATACTGAAGTGAGGTATGTTCTTGGGAGATTCACACGACGATTTAAAGAAGATTTATACATTTTCTACCATCAAAATTGATTGTGGATCTATAAAAAGGTTGACCACTAGATTGTAACTCAGACAATAAGTCAATGACTTGGCAGAAGTAGCATTAGACAAGTTGGATTTCTCCTCCAGTTCTTGAGACCGAAAGGAATAGGGAATCGCCTTGAGTGGATCTCTATACTGGTTAAATAAAGGTAATATTATTTAGCACAAACAGTATAGATGACGGCATTTGTGACATTAAATTATAAATTTAGTTAAATACATGAATTTATGTCCTGTTTAATGGAGTATATCATATGTTGATACGTAAATTGACATTCAACATCATTGGTTTTATATAATATTATTCAACCAATAATACAATTTTCCCTAAATGTTGACCAAAATTAATATGATGATTTGAATTCTTGGTTAATCTTTGATGAGTCGATGGTGGCCCCAGTGGTACAAGACAAAGACGTAGACAAGGATGCAATGGACCATATCTTTTAGGATATAAATTGATGTTTAAACCTCCTTTGACCAGACACTCATCTGGAATAATCTACTAAGACATCCTCGTGCCAAAGGTCTATTGAAAATAATAATGGCATGCTAGCAACATTAATGGTGGGTAATAATTACTCTTTTTATTTCATGAGGTCTTATCGTTAAGTATACACCTCTTATTGACTGGTCTTTTAGTTAAAAGTAATGTTATTTAACTTTGTTACTGTTCAACATCAGTCTTAGAGGTAATTTGATGATATTAAATAATAAATTCATTTTAATACAAAATCAAATTATTTATTTAAATAAATATATCAACTGTGACCACTTAAATTGGTGATACTAGATAGCACTATTCTTTACTAGTTAGGTGTTAAATAAAAATTTCAAATTTTGGTGGAGGATTATGCCCATAAATATTGCGTGCTTCTCATCGAATTCTCAAAATTGTTCATCTGTTCACTTGGAATGATATTAATGTACTGTAGTAGCTATGCGGAAATCTGACTTCACCATGCTACAAAACCATTTGAAGACATTAATATCCCACCAAATAATAATAATAATAATAATAATAATAATAAACTGAATGCAAAAATGAATATGCTATGATGCTACCAAAAATCGTACCTGCAGATTTCCCGAACTTGATGATTGATAAGGAGCACAAACGTGATCTTCCAATACCTGAAACAAAGGCAACGAGGTATGTTCTCGTCGCCCCTCCGATGCTTAAGTCAGAAAGGGAAAATATATGCGTGAGGCTATGTGCTGAAGAATAATGAGAAAACGTACCTGAATAATGGTTCAAGGTTCTGTATTTATAGTGGTAAGTGACATTCTCCTAATTGGACTCAACTAGCTGGATGTCATCATCTGTTGGAGTCCTGAATGGTTAAGGAGTTGGTTGAATTCCAGAATTATACGTGAGATAGGATTCTTCTGGGAGTTAAGATTCCTAATTGCGTAGGAATTCTAAAGGGTTAACAATCGTCAGTAGTGAGGGGGAGCACATTCCCGAGGACTATGCCCGAGGACATATGGTTGCAATATGCGAAGCAGCATGGAGTTGTGGTCGGGCATAGTGTCTCGAGGATGAACATGCTCGAGGACACCGCATATGGATTTACAACTTTATCAAAACTAGTCCTCGGGATATTTTTCACTTTTTACTCTCAGTAAACTTCTCTCGCTAATCGTCGGGATCGGACTTTGAGTTTTTAGGCGTCGACTTTAAGGTAAGACCTTGAGTTTTAAAGTTATTCTTTAGGCGTTTTTTACCTAGGTCAGGATGTCTAGTAGTAGCAGTAGCGACTCTTCGTCATCATCGTCCTCGAGGAGTACTCCCGAGGACATAGGATGCTCGATCATACCTATGGCTGTCCCAATTAATGCTCAACCTCGGGCACAAAGTATCCCGACCCCTTTTAGGTACCCCGAGGTCCCCTGTAAATTTAAAGAACATCTAGCAATATCGACGGCTAGGGAGCATGGGCTCATGCCCAAATGCGACGTTAGGACACCAGGGGTAGAGGATAGGATGGCCTTTGCTCGGGATGGAGAGTTCGTGATTTTTAGGGACTCACTTAAGGGGGGATTTCGATGGCCTCTGCATCCCTTTTTTGTGGCCTTATTGGTCGAGCATAATATGAGCCCTGGACAGCTCGTGCCAAATGGGTGGAGGATGCTTACCTATTTCTTTATAGCCTGTAGATACCTAGGAATTAACCCATACGTCGATCTCTGTAGGATGGTGTTCGACCTGAAACAGCTTCCTCACTATACTTGTTTTGCTTACCTTTCATCCCAAAGAGGATTTAGATTACCGAGGATGCCCAGTTCTTTAAAAGGTTGGAAAGAAAAGTGGTTTTATGTCATACCTCAGGATAGCG